AGATTGAACAGATTTGATAGGAGGGCCAAACTGAAGTTCTGCCATACTCTTGAATTGTTTAAATATGGTAAGGGCTTCAGATTTGGATTTGAGGAGGTAAAGCCAGGTGAATTTGGAGTAAGCATCTACAAAGGAAATGTAATATGTGAAGCCTAAAGTAGATGGTTGAGGGGATGGTCCCCACAGATCACAGTACACAAGTTCCAAAGGAGTGTGATAGACAGTATCGAGAAGTGGTAGCATGTAATCTATGAGCTTTGCCAATACAACCAACTGAGCCAAAAATATTCTGTTCTTTATTGCTAAAAGAGATATTATAGCTTTGTAAAACTAGTTTGAGTGTGTGCTCATTAGGGTGACCTAGTCTCAAAGCCAAACATTAGACAAATTTGAGGAAATGCTAACTGCATTAGCAGTAGGTACAGAATTGGAAACAGATTGTAAAGTAACAGGTGAAGACTGAGCAGGTGCTGAAACGGATAGAGAGCGGAAGGCATAAAGGACCATCAGACCCAACTTGACCAACCAGCAGGACAGCATCAGAGACCTGGCATTTGACAAGACATTTGTCAGTTGTGAACAGAAAATATACGTTATTATCAAGACAAAATTGGCTGACACTAATAAGATTCTTGGTAATAGAAGGAACATGAAGCAGATTTATAAGTGTGAAACTGTGTGTGAGGGTGAGAAGGTGAGGTAAAAACACTAGATCCTGCAGTGTGTATAGGGAGACCTTGGCCATTTCCTATATAAATCTGTTCATGGCCTTCAAAAGGAGTAAGTTGTTGGAGATTGCCAGCATCACTGGTGACATGAAAGGATGCACCTGAATCAGGATACCAAGTGCCAGCAGATGAGGAGGGAGCAGTGTTAGCCACAAAGGTACTTGGTGGAGCATACGCAGACTGAGGTTTAGAGTGAGCAACAGGAGGTCTGTTCCATGTATAAGGATTTGAACTGGCCAAAGGTTAAAGGAGCAGGTAACCATGGAGCTTGCTGAGGAGAAGACTGCTGAAATGGAGTGGCATTGTAGGATAACCGTTGAGGAACCAGAAGGTTGAAAATGGTTGATTAAACCTGTGCCAGCAAGCTAGGGCGGGAATGGCCAAAACGAGAACAAACTTGGCATTGAATACCTGAATTTCTGCCACCTCTCCCTCTGCCACCACGACCTCTGTGAGATCTGCCACCTCTGAAACTGGAGTAGTCACGCTCTGTGGACTGAGAACCAGGTACAGGTATTGGTTCAGTACTTCCAGAATGAGCAGACTCAAGGGACTGAGAGGAAGGTGCAATGTGCGTGAGATTGAGGAAAGAATATCTGAAGCAGGTGATTCTTGAACTTATTCAGGCGCAGTTCATGCGCAATAAGGAGAATCTCAACTTCATCAATGTCCATAACTCGAATTTGCTTTCCCACACTGAAACAACTGAAGCATAATCTGAGGTAATCCTTCAAGGATGACATCAATATGATGAGACAGAGGCACCGGATCTCCAATAGAAGCAAGCGAGTCACATAGTACGAATTTTCTGAAGATATCCTGAAAATGGGGTGAACAAACGATCCCAAAGTTGATGTGTATGCGTGCATCCAAGACGAAACAGGATCTCGCTCGACGAGAGTAGACTGAAGGCCATGAGAAGCCAGCATCTGATCTTTCTGCAACCAAGCAGCATACACAGGGTTAACCGTACCTGAGCGTCGCGCATCATCATCAAGAAACTGAGGCGGAATTCGCGAAGAAAGCACCAAATCGGTGAGATTGTGAGCGTTAATGTATGGCTCAACTTGCTGGCGCCAGAGATGAAAATTCTTTGAGTCGAGTTTGGTCGCGATCTTCAGCGCGAACTGCAAACGGGCGCGATTCATCCAAAACGACGGCGATGAGACATGAGCGGCGGTGGAAGAAGACGAATCTGCCATGGATCACGAAGTCTAGTCTGATACCATATTAGAAAGCAGGAAGAGAGAGAGTTTTCATTGTAACTGAATTTCTATTTCTTGTTAATAGTTTGTTACAAGATCTAGATCTGTTTTTATAGAAAACAGAAGAGTAACCTGCAATAGCAGGTCAGAACATATAATGAGCTGACACCTATCAGTGAACAAAAGAATACATCTAATACATAGCAACACCGAGATTTTGTGGTTGTATAGTTCAATGTCTATCCTCGATTCATCGATCAGCTCAGCAGTAAATAAGTCCACTTATTGTTAAGGTTCATGGGTTCTTGTATCTCCTGAATTGTACTTTGTGAAACCTTTATTGGCTCTTTGAATTATGATGGAGATGTTAGCTATATGTTCTTCTAGAGCAGTCTGTCTAGAAGTCATTTGTTCGATGAAATTCTTCATGATTGATGCTAAATTTGCGTCATCCAAGTTGGCTCGTGATGCCAAATTGTTATGGTCAGGGATCGCGTTTGAAATGGTCTTAGACGCGGAAGAACCTTCCCTTCGGCCTATGGTGAAGGCAAAAGCAAATTCGTTCTTGACAGAGTCTATTCTTAAATTCACAAGTTTTTTAATAATAACTATTGATAATTTTTATTCCCAATCATAATGCCTTTAAATAGGCTTAGTAGAAGAAGAGTCCTAATTAGACTAGGTTAATAACTCTTTCCTAAACTTACTGTCATTTAAATTTAAATGATAATACCCTATTTAATAGAAAAATTTTGTTCTAATCCTAAATCTTATCCTAAAAATACTGAAATTCAAATTTAAAAATTTTGCTATGCTAACTTATTAAAAGTAAATTAAATAATAAATTATAATCAGCATAGTTAATCCTAATCTGCATAGTTAACCTAATCTGCAGAACTAGAGGTCCATATCATAAATTTAGAGTAAGTTTACTAACATTGAATTTGCACAGAACAAATGAATAAAAAAATAAATAAATGATAAATAACTTTTAAAAAATTATCAATATTTACCTTGGAATTAGACACAGTTGAGTTAACAACCACTCCACATGCCAGAACATTGTCAGAGAAGACAGCATAATGATAAAGTTCCGGATCATGAATCTTATTTTCATTTGGCAGCTTTCTATCATCAGGTCTCAGGGAAAAGTAATCAGCAGTTAGTTGCATAGAAAGACAGTGAAAGCCTTTAGGGGTGGTCCTAGCGGTGGTCCTAGCAGCAAGATAAACAAGATGGGTTACTTCGTGTTGATGAGAACGAACTTGTTCTTCAGCGTTATCATTCATCGCACGGAGCTTAGCAGCCATAGCAGCGCAGTCCGGGAAAGCACGGTCGGCTTTAGACAGTGAACCCTCCATGCGTCTCATTTTCTGCAAAGCACTGTGAACTTCACTTGTTTTCAGATTGAAAATATTCTCGTTTTTTTTAACAACTTATGTCTCTCCTAAAGTCTATGTTCTCTCTATAATTAATTGCATACTGAAAGACGATGTCATATTTTCGAAGATTGGAATTGAACTTTTGAGAAAAAGCTGTTTTATCGCTCCAATCCTATTTTCCTTTACTGAAGTATGTACATTTGATTTGCTTTTATCAGCACGGGGGATATGACGAAACGAATAAGAAGCAAATTTAAACATACTGGGAGTCAGCTAAGAAAATTGGTAGTAGTGGTGAGGTGGAAAAAAAAAGCTTTTATAATTTACAGAACCCGGGCATTAGTTTTCTCTACAAACTAGCGCATTGTGTTTAGCATATAAAAGTAATAATTGCTGAAGAAAATGCAAGTCACAGAACTACTGAGAATACTTACCTCCTTGAAAGATCTGAATCTTTGGTAGCTTCTCCAACAGCACGTTCCATCTCTCTAATTCTCAGCTTCAACTCCTTCACCAAGTGTGAGGTGCTGCTTGGTGGAGACAATCCCAAGTATGCTCTGGCTCTGATAATTTGATCCTTAATCTCAATAACTGTCTGATTTGTCACTTTGTGAGACTGATGGTGTGAAATCTGACGATGTCGGCTTACTGTCAAACCAGATTGCTTTTCAGTAACTTCAATAATATTCTCAACTTTCTTTCCTTTGAAAGGTAGTGTTTATATTCTGATTGGCCATAACTGTTGTATTAAATGTCTTCTGAAAATAAAAGCAATTTCAAAAGGTTTATATTAGATTACACGAATAAGTTTCTCCATGGTATATTTTGCAATTAAACATTGAACATGTATACACACAGAAAATTTTCCATCTATATGTAATATAATCCAGTTGCCTGCCAAGTAAAAAAATATATGCGTCAAGATAAAAGCATGGAGATGCTAAACAAATACAACCTCTAGTCTCATGTTTAAGAAAAAGTTGGGAGTTTTTTGTTCTTATTATAAGAAAAGTTTCAAATTTTAAGATATATTAATTGTTGTAATTACTTTGATATCTTTGCTATTTTTACAAGAAATACAATTATTCTCCATGAGTGGGTGTAAGAACATTCAATGTCAGGATTATATTTATAATAAACTTTCAAAATCAAAACATTAAGTGAAGTTCCTTGGCCTTAATGATTTTCATTTTTCTGATATATAGGACCAGAAGAAGTAATACTATTAGATGTATTCTTTATTCACTGACAGGTGTCACCTCATTTTATGTACTGACCTGCTATTGCAGGTCATCTTTCTGTTTTCCCTGCTATTGCAGGTTACTCTTCTGTTTTCTATAAAAACAGATTCTGATCTTGTAACAAACTCAATAACAGAAAATAGAAATTCAGTTACAATGAAAACTCTCTCTCTCTTCCTGCTTTCTAATATGGTATCAAACTAGCCTCTTGATCCATGGCAGATTCGTCTTCTTCCACCGCTGCTCACGTCTCATCGCCGTCGTCCGCCGCCGTCTTGGATGAATCGCTCCGTTTGCAGTTCGCGCTGAAGATCGCGACCAAACTCGACTCAGAATTTTCATCTATGGCACCAGCAAGTTGAGCCATACATTAACGCTCACAATCTCACTGATTTGGTGCTTCCTTCGCGAATTCCGCCTCAGTTTCTTGATGATGATGCGCGACACTCAGGTACAGTTAACCCTGTGTATGCTGCTTGGTTGCAGAAAGATCAGATGCTGCTCTCATGGCTTCAGTCTACTCTCTCGAGCGAGATCCTGTCTCGTGTTCTTGGATGCACGCATACACATCAACTTTGGGATCGTTTGTTCACCTATTTTCAGAAGCAAACTCGTGCGAAAGCTCGCCAACTTCGTGTGGAACTTCGTGCCCTAACTCTTGACAATCAATCTGTTCAGGATTACCTTCAGAAAATTCGTACTATTGTGGATTCGCTTGCCTCTATTGGAGATCTGGTGCCTCTATCTCATCACATTGATGTCATTCTTGAAGGCTTCAGTTGTGGAAAGCAAATTCAGAGTTATGGACATTGATGAAGTTGAGATCCTCCTTATTGCGCATGAACTTCGCCTGAATAAGTTCAAGAAATCACCTGCTTCAGATATTCTTTCCCTCAATCTCACGCACACTGCACCTTCCTCTCAGTCCCCTGAGTCTGCTCCTTCTGGAAGTACTGAACCAGTACCTGTACCTGGTTCTCAGTCCACAAAGCCTGACTACTCCAGTTTCAGAGGTGACAAATCTCACAGAGGTCGTGGTGGCAGAGGGAGAGGTGGCAGAAATTCAGGTATTCAATGCCAAGTTTGTTCTCGTTTTGGCCATTCTGCCCTAGCCTGCTGGCACAGGTTAATCAGCATTTTCAACCTTCTGCTTCTCTCAGTGGTTATTCCTACAATGCCACTCCCTTTCAGCAGTCTTCTCCTCAGCAAGCTCCATGGTTACCTGCTCCTCTAACCTTGGTCAGTTCAATCCTTATACATGGAACAGACCTCCTGCTGCTCACTCTAAACCTCAGTCTGCATATGCTCCACCAAGTACCTTAGTGGCTAACACTGCTCCCTCCTCATCTGCTGGCACTTGGTATCCTGACTCAGGTGCATCCTTTCATATCACCAGTGATGCTGGAAATCTCCAACAACTTACTCCTTTTGAAGGCCATGAACAGATTTATAGGGAATGGCCAAGGTCTCCCTATCCACACTGCAGGATCTAGTGTTTTTACCTCACCTTCTCACCCTCACACACACAGTTCACACTTAAAAATCTGCTTCATGTTCCTTCCATTACCAAGAATCTTATTAGTGTCAGCCAGTTTTGCCTTGATAATAATGTATATTTTCTATTCACAGCTGACAAATGTCTTGTCAAATGCCAGGTCTCTGATGTTGTCCTGCTGGTTGGTCAAGTTGGGTCTGATGGCCTTTATGCTTTCCCCTCTCTATCCGTTTCAGCACCTGCTCAGGCTTCCCCTGTTACCTTACATTCTGTTTCTAATTTTGTACCTACTGCTAATGCAGTTAGCATTTCCTCAAATTTGTCTAATGTTTGGCATTTGAGACTAGGTCACCCTGATGAGCACACACTCAAACTAGTTTTACAAAGTTGTAATATCTCTTTTAGCAATAAAGATCAAAATATTTTTGCTCAGCTTGTTGTATTGGCAAAGCTCACAGATTACATGCTCCCACTTCTCATACTGTCTATCACACTCCTTTGGAACTTGTGTACTGTGATCTGTGGGGACCATCCCCTCAACCATCTACTTTAGGCTTCACATATTACATTTCCTTTGTAGATGCTTACTCCAATTCACCTGGCTTTATCTCCTCAAGTCCAAATCTGAAGCCCTTACCATATTTAAACAATTCAAGAGTATGGCAGAACTTCAATTTGCCCATCCTATCAAATCTGTTCAATCTGATTGGGGAGGTGAGTTTAGGCCCTTTACCAAGTTTCTGAATGAGCTAGGTATCCTTCATAGAGTGATATGCCCTCACACACATCACCAAAATGGTGTGGTTGAGAGAAAACATAGGCATATTGTGGAACTTGGTCTTACACTCTTAAGTCAAGCTTCAATGCCACTCCAGTACTGGGATTATGCTTTCTCCACTGCTGTTTTTCTCATTAACAGGCTTCCATCTTCCTCCCTTAAGTTCAAAGTGCCTTACACTCTGTTGTTTAATTCCCAACCTGACTACAAGTTCTTAAAAGTGTTTGGATGTGCTTGCTTTCCCTTACTTAGGCCATATCATGCTCATAAGCTGGACTTCAGATCCAATAGTGCCTTTTTCTAGGCTATTCCACCTCTCATAAAGGGTACAGGTGTCTATCTGCCCAAGGCAGACTTTATATTCTAAAGATGTGCTTTTCAATGAGTCCAGGTTTCCTTTTCATGACCTTTTTTGCTCCACATCTTCCACCACTACTGCTCTCCAATCTCAGCCTGCCACCCCCCTTGGTTCTATCATCCCTTATTCACATGTGTCTTGCATCACCTCCTTACCAAGTCCAGATATTTCTGATTCAACAAGCTCTATATCTCCCACTACTTTGGTACCTCCTCAGACCATCTCTGAGACCTTTACTGCATCCCCTGCTTTACCTCATTTTAATACAGCTTCTCCTTCCTCACAGTCTGAAGCATCTGACTCTTCTTTCTCTACCTCATTATTTGGTTCTATTCCTCCTAATGTTGTTCCCATATCTCACAAGCCTGTCAATGACCATACTATGCAGACAAGGGCCAAATTTGGCTTTATTCAACCAAGGTTGCAGCTAGGCTGCTGCTGACATGTATTGAACCTAAGACTGTGAAGGTTGCTCTTGCTGATCCTAAGTGGAAAACATGTTATGCAGGCAGAATTTGATGCCCTCTGTCAAAATCACACTTGGTCCCTTGTTCCTCTTCCTCCCAGTAGACAGGCCATTGGCTGCAAGTGGGTATTCCGAGTCAAGGAGAATCCTGATGGCAGTGTTAACAGGTACAAAGCTAGACTAGTTGCTAAGGGCTTTCACCAAAGGCATGGCTGGATTTTACTGAAACCTTTTCCCCTGTGGTCAAGCCCATTACCATCAGGATCATTTTGACACTTGCTATCACTCACAGCTGTTCCATTCAACAATTGGATGTCAACAATGCCTTTCTCAATGGCGAACTTGATGAAGAAGTATATATGCAGCAGCATCCTGGTTTTCTTGACTCCAATCCTTCTTTAGTGTGCAAGCTTCACAAGGCTCTCTATGGCCTCAAGCAAGCACCACGGCAGTGGTTTGAAAAGTTGCAAACTGCCTCATTCAACTTCATTTTGTACCCAACAAGTGTGATCCTTCCTTGTTTATCCTATCTTCTAAAGGACATACCACATATATTCTGGTATATGTGGATGATATCATCCTAACTGGCAGCAATTCTTCTACTCTTACAGCTGTGATTACCAGCTTAATGAGGCCTTTTCTCTTAAGCACCTTGGCAGCCTTGACTACATCTTGGGCATTGAAGTTAAAACCACTCCTCATGGCTCTCTTCTCCTTTCTCAAGCCAAGTACATTAGGGATCTTCTGCACAGGACCAATATGGTTGATGCTGCTGCTGTTGCACTCCTATGCATTCCACTTGTAAGCTTACCAAAACTGGCTCAGCTGCGCTTTCTGATCCTTTCATGTACAGGTCTGTAGTGGGTGCACTTCAATATGCCACTATTACCAGACCTGACATTGCTTACTCTGTCAACAAGGTGTGTCAGTTTATGTCTCACCCTCTGGAATCGCACTGGGTTGCTGTGAAACGCATTCTTCGTTATCTCAAGGGTACCATCAACTTTGGCCTTCATCTCACGCCTTGTTCTCCTCGCCAGGCACCTGCACTGCAAGTTTTTTGTGATGCTGAATGGGCGTCAGATCCTGATGATAGACGCAGCACTTCTGGAGCTGCTATTTATTTTGGGCCTAATCTGGTTTCTTGGTGGTCCAAAAAGCAGCCTGTTGTCGCTAGATCCAGCACTGAGGATGAATATAGAAGTCTGGCTCAAGCTACAGCAGATCTACTGTGGCTTCAAACTCTCCTTCAAGAACTGTGTTTCAACTCAGGCTCCAGTCATTTTCTGTGATAGCCAATCTGCTGCGCTGCTGGCCCATAATTCCATTTGCATTCTAGAACGAAGCATATGGAAATTGATCTATTCTTTGTAAGGGAAAAGGTTCTGGCCAAGCAGGTGCAAGTTCTGCACATTCCAGGTGTTGATCAAGTTGCTCATGCTCTCACCAAACCTTTGGCATCTCACAAGTTTCTGCAACTCAGGGTTGCCAGATGTATTCTTTTATTCACTGACAGGTGTCAGCTCATTTTATGTACTGACCTGCTATTGCAGGTCATCTTTCTATTTTCCCTGCTCCCCATGGGGGGGGGGGGGGGGGGGGGGGGGTGGGGGGGGGGGGGGGGGGGGGGGGGGGGGGGGGGGGGGGGGGGAATTAGATGTATTCTTTTATTCACTGACAGGTGTCAGCTCATTTTATGTACTGACCTGCTATTGCAGGTCATCTTTCTGTTTTCCCTGCTATTGCAGGTTACTCTTTTGTTTTCTATAAAAACAGATCTGATCTTGTAACAAACTCAATAACAGAAAATAGAAATTTAGTTACAATGAAAACTCTCTCTCTCTTCCTGCTTTCTAATAAAAGGAAAACAAACTATTTTTTTTAGATATAGAATATGTAAATAACATGTGTGATAACACAGTGTCATTTATAACTATTTCCTCGATCTGTTTCAAATTACTACAATAGCAGATCAGCTCGCACCTGGACGTTGATATATAAGCCACAAATTTAACCAATAAGACCTCTTTTCATAGTCTCCAATAAAACTAGGTTGACTTCAATTATAAAAACCGATCCCTTTAGAACTGACCAGAAACTCCAATCCTCTGCCTAAATCATAAGTTTCAAGCTAGGTGCATAGTAAACCTCACAAATTACTGATTTGTAAAAGTCCTTCAAAGTCCAGACCTTCCCACTTAGCTAGCCATTAGGCATGGGTAAAACCAACCACTAAGGATGAATTCAAATTCGAAAGTGTTCAAGCAAAATGGAGAGCAAACACAGGAATCAATTATCAATCTCAAGTTGATTGCCCAACAAAATCTCAGAATGAAACCAACATGAGGTTATGCTTTTTGATAGCTTTAAATTAAAATTATAACATCACCAAGTAATAAAGCATTCCTTTCTACAGTGACACATGTTAAAGAGCAGCTAGGTAAACCTGTATTCTCATGATATTAGCACAAAAGAAACCAGATAATAAGTGCAATCTATAGGAGGTCAAGCGAAAAAGTCCAAGTCTAACATCCAATTTCTTATCATTTAATAGAAATAGAGGGTTCCATTTGGAGGGAGGGAGAGAGAGAGAGAGAGAGAGAGAGAGAGAGAGAGAGAGAGAGAGAGAGAGAGAGATGAGAGAGAGAGAGAGAGAGAGAGAGAGAGAGAGAGAGAGAGAGAGAGAGAGAGAGAGAGGGGGAGAGAGAGAGAGAGAGAGAGAGAGAGAGAGAGAGAGAGAGAGAGAGAGAGAGAGAGAGAGAGAGAGAGAGAGAGAGATGCAGTGGGATTTGGCAAATTTTAAAAAACAATTAATGATGGTGGGATCCACTTGATGTAGAGATCTACTATCTACTTTATGCGCCCATACCTCTCATAATGGATTCCTCCATTTCTTAACATACCGCTGCAACTTCCTCTAGTTAGCAACTTCGTGTTAAACTTTGACTTTTAGAACAGGAAAATAGCAATCACGTACTCTCTAGTTTATAATAAAGGAAATTAAAAAGAATTAAATAGTCCTAACCTGATCTCCGCCATGGAGAATAATCCTTTTCGTTGAGCTTCTTGGTCTTTTGTTTCATCAAGGTTGAATTCTGAAAGTTGATTATAATTTAAAAAATTGCCAAAAAACAACGGTATCGGGCATTTCAGTGGCATTATACTGACCAAACAAATTAAGAAGTTCATGGAGGGATGCAAACCTTTCTTTTCCAAAAATTATTTTTGGACCCCTCAATTCTAGACTCCTCGGGATCAATATTTTTTTCCAAAGGGTCTCTAACCGTGGAACCAGAAACATTTTCTTTATAACCAACTTGCTTGCCTCTTCTAATTCTTCCAAGTCTTCCTGAATTGCAAAAATGGGCCCAAATCACAACCAAAGTTTAGATGCATTCATTCTCCAAATCAATTAAGGAAAACAAGAAAGATTTCTAAGTATTTAGCACACAATGGTGTAGACCATGATCAAATATTGCATTATCCATTCTATACTATACTCCCTCTATCCCATATTACAAGAGAAATTCACTTTTTAGATTCATTGAATAATTAATGTATTTGGTCTATATATAGATCATATACATTAATTATTCAATGAATCTAAAAATTGAATTTCTCTTATAATATGGGACGGAGGGAGTAGCATTTAATCTTAAAGAATCAATTTTATATTACTGCAACAAAAAATAACAATCAACTCAATTTCCAAAGGAGAGCATTCAAACTTTAACTCACATTAGCTATTAAAGAAATGAAGCGATATTGACAGATAAAAAGCTTATATCTTAACATAGCTCTGCTACTTCCTTTAGGGAACAATTTCATGTTTAACTTTAACTTTTAGAACAGGAAAATAGCAATCAAGCAGCCCCCAATTTATAATGCCAAAATTTCAAAAGAATTAGTCCAAACCTGATCTCCATCCGTGGAGGACAATTCTTTCTGCTGATCTTCCCGGTCTTGTGTTTCATCATCATGATCGAATTCTGAAAGTTATTACAATAAAAAATTTAGCCAGTAACAACAGTGTTGAGTATTTCAGTAGCATTATATTGACCATACAAATTAAGAAGTTCACGGAGGGATACAAACCTTTTTTTTCCGAGTAATTATTTCTGGACCCCTCAATTCTGGAGTCCTCGGATTCATTATTTTTTTTTGAATCATCGCTATTCTTGGAACCAAAGTCATTTTCTTTATAAACAACTTGCTTTGGCTCTTCTAATTCTTCCGAGTCCTCGTAATCGTTATTTTTTTCCGAATCATAGCTATTCTTGGAACCAAAATCATTTTCTTTATGAACAACTTGCTTTGGCTCTTCTAATTCTTCTAAGTCCTCTGAATCATTATTTTTATCTGAATCGCCGCTATTCTTGGAACCAAAATCATTTTCTTTATAAACAACTTGTTTTGGCTCTTGTAATTCTTCCAATTCTTCCTGAATTGCATAAAAGGTTCCAAATCACAAGCAAAATTTAGATGTATTAATTCTCCAAGAAATATTTTTAAGTATTTAACACCACGACAGCGTAAATTGACTAAACTCTAATCAAATATCACATTACCTGTTCTATAGCATTTAACTTGAAAGGATCTGTTCTATATTTCTGCAACAAGCAAATAACAATGAATTCAATTACCAAAGCAGATGATTCAAAGTTGTAGAAAGTTGAATTGACAACTGAGGTTTTACATTAACGAAAAATCCCCAAGTTAATATTCAAGAGAGCACAAGAAATTTCAAATTCAGCGACACTAGAAATAAACTAAATAGCTAATTGAAAAGAAACAGAACGTTTCACAATATTTTCTGCCGCTACAATTCATCTCAAAAAAAAGTCATGAGGTTTGGGAATTAAGATTCTTACAACACTGGATAAATCATCAAGAAACTCTCTCCGACCTAAAATGAAATTCAACAGAAAACAAAAATCAATAAAAAGAAATGGATATAATAAACAAGAATCGAAACAGAAAAGTGCGTGAAGAAGAGTTTGACCATCGCGAGTTACAACTCTCAGCCTGTGAGAGACGAAAATGACCGGAGCGACGACGGAGAGAGAGAGGAGAGAGAGGAGCAAACTCCTCTGCCACCGATGAGATTGCTTCATCGATGATCGATCGCGAAGCACATTTCACGGAAATGGATCACGGAGAGAATTCGATGCGTTGAATACAAGTAATCTACAGAGGCTAGGGTTTCTTGTAACTATCTATATCAGTTATTCGGTTTTTAGAGAGAGAGAAAGAAGCCTGAAAGCAGCTACATCCATCATCCATGTTCTCAATCTCTCCCCCGGCAAGAAATGCCTTGTTAAATTTTTCTTTTTTTTCTTTTCTACTTTGGCATTTAGAGCTATCTCGAGATTTGTACCGCCAAGTAAGTGGGAATAAAATAATAGAAACAGTACTTTTTTATTTATTTTTGTACTAGTTCTTGAACATTTGTATAATTGAGGAGATAAAGCTATATAATTGATCGGTTTGAATTAAAATCGGATGCAAAATTTAAAATCGACTTAAATTATTGTTTCATTTTTAAGACTTAATTTTGATCGATAAAACTTTAATTTTTAGTCAATTTAGTTAAATCAATTTTTCAGTTATAACAATTTCTATAATTAATAAAATAGTTTTTTTAAGCCATTTCTTCTCTTCAAGATTGAGTTTTTTTTTCTTTTGTTCTACACCGAGTTCTTTGATATTTTCTCCATTATTCTTCCTTTGGCCTCCTTTTATTTATTTCTTCTCTTTCTTCATTATTGTGTGTCCTTTTTGTAGGTATTTTGGTGGTGTTTTCTCCCTTCTTTGGTGATCGTTTTTAGCTCTCTTGTCTCCAATCTTACTGTCTTTGGGTGATTCTATTTTTCTGGTTCTTTCTCCTTCTGCTCTTCTCACTTGCGCTTTGGGGAATAGGGTTGTCCCTGTTTCTCGCTTCTTCGTCCTTGTTTGATGGACCTAGGGATGGCAAAAAAAAGTACTCTTGAATTCTCGCAAGTAAAACTCGTCAGTTTACTCACGGATATGAATATGGATATATATTTGATGGTACTCGTACCCGCGAATATCCATATCTGTTAATAATTAACAAAATTACTTGTTTGATCTAAAATTATTATTATTACTACTATTATTATTATTATTTTGTTGAATATGAAACTATTATTAGTTTGTTGAATCTAATATAATTAGTTGATAAAAGAAGAAATAAAATGAATGTGACTTATGTTTGTTAATATTATCATTATTATTATGTGTTAAATTGGAAATTATTTTTTGTCTTTAAAATAAATAAAAAGATTTATATATATATATATATATATATATATATATATATATATATATATATATATATATATATATATATATATATATATATATATATATATATATATATATATATATATATATATATATATATATATTATATATATATATATATATATATATATATATATATATATATATATATATATATATATATATATATATATATATATATATATATATTTGTTTTTTTTAAATGTTTAAATAATAGTATCCATGCATACCCGTAAATATTTGTGGGTATCTCAAAATTCACGGATACCCGCACGGGTGTGGGGCGGGTACGAATATCATATTTACTAAATAGGGCGGTAACGGGAAACTACTACTCGTGCCCATGGATACTCATTATCATCCCTAGATAGACCTAACTTGTAACTTTTCAAACATACAAGAAAATCACAAATCTGGATTCATTCTTGTGGAATCCAACCCAAAACCTGCAACAAGAAAAACAAACAATCAAGATAAAGGGAAAATAGTTATGCTAAGCATCCCTCAACAAGACCACACAACCTTTTCCAACCCTATGGCATTGCGTGCAAAAACCCCATCTTCCCAATCTCCTAATTTCATGTTGTGTGAGGAAGATGAGATACAGGAAACCAACATAGATCAACCGACGAGACTGTTGGGAAAATAATTATTGAGAAGCCTATACACAGGATCCATGAACCTTGCCCTAGCCAATATTTGGTACATCCCAAAGAACTTATCTGTCAAAGAAATCGAAACATGTTTGTTTCAAATATCGATGGACAATGCGAAAGATCATAGTCGTATTCTCAGAGGAAGCCCGTAGATTTTGTGAAACTTCTGGTTAATTCTACAGGAATGAGATGGTCGCAAACCTTTATCTAGCATAGATTTTGCTAAAGCCCCAATTTGGATGCAAATCTAGGGACTATCAATCAATGGGAAAACAAACCAGATGAGAAGGGAAATTGGAGAAATGATGGGGAAAAGTGCTAGAAACAGGCATCTACGAAATGCAAGAGAAAACTCTGATTGTTAAGGCGAGAATAAATCTGAAAATCATCATCTAAATCATGCCAGGCATGTACATTGGAAGAAAAAATAATGGTTTAACTAGATTAACTTTCGCTACGAAATATTACCTATGTTTTACTTCTATTGTGGCCTAATCGGTCAGAATGAAGAACATCACACAAAAGAGCTTCAACCCAATCACAGAAGTAGTGAAGTCAAATCACTTTGCCCCTAGATGAGAACTACCCAAACTAGAAGGAAAAAAATCCCTCGAGCTGAGAAAAAAATCAGCAGAAGCCCAACTTAAGCCTGTATAGTCTTATATCCCAAGATATGCTTAGAAAATTGCATAAGTTGAATATACATGAAGAAATACAACAATCGGACAACAGTCCAGATAATATTATGGTTCAAAAAAAAAGAACGATCATAGTGGAAGGGGACCATTCAATCAGCATAACATGTCGATTGGCCTGCCTCTTGATGAAGGCATCCAAAAAGGATGAAAATCCTATCATGAAATGTTAAGGGGTTGAGAAACCCCCAAGCCACCAGATCTCTTGCTCACGTGATAAGAACTTTCTTGCCTAATATTATTTTCCTCTCATAAACAAAGAAGACTAATAATGATAGGATCCTTAATTTGATTAGTAAAGTTGGTCCCTTAACCAACTTTTATAATGTTGATTGTATTGTTAGTGGGAAAGGTAGAACGGGGGCTTGCCTTAATATGGAGCAAAGAGATTGATTTGAATATATTGGATGTTAATAATAATATGATTGATTTCTATGTCGCGTTGCCTAATCCTAATAGTAGTAATACCATCTAGAGAGGTACGAGTATCTATGGATACCCTAACTCTAATAAAAAATACCTCACTTATAGCATGATCATTAATTTAGCCCAAAGATATGATATGCCTATGTGGGTTCTTTTTGGAGACTGTAATATGATAACTAACAACATGGAAAAAGTTGGGGGAAACCCTATTGATATAAATTTCACTAATCATCTTAACAATATGTTTGTTGATTGTGGTTTACATGATCTTAGTTTTAAGGGCATTATGGATACATGGTGCAACAATCATCAAGGCAACACCTACATTGAGGCTAGACTGGACAAATATATGGCTATTAAAGCTTTGATGGACTGTTATCCTTATCACACAAACTCTTATCTCCTTAGAACTACCTCAGGTCACAACCCTATATTGTTGACTTTCAGCTCATTTCACCATATTCAAACTAATCCTAACATAAATATTAGACCTAAGAGATTTGAAAATATTTAATTAGAATATTATGAGACAAAGAGGATTATAGATACCATTTGGAATATTTCTACTTCTGATGACATCATATCTAAACTCAATCAGGCCTTTGAGGAGGCTTGGAGATAAGGCAATAGGAAGTATGGTAATTTGTATTGCATTATACAAAAGGTGTATCGGCAACTTAAACAAGCCCAATATAGTAACAACTACAACAAAAACATGCATACCATTAGAAGTTTGCAAGCTAAGTTGGATAACCTTCTCAATCAATAGGAGGTTTGGTGGGCTTAGCGGGAGAATATAAAATGGTTCGCCGAAGGAGACAAAAATACATCATTTTTCCATCAAAGCGAAAAGCAAATAAATAGTCAGAACGAGATTAAGATGTTAAGGATGCCTAATGGGGACCTATCTAACAAGGATATGGACACTAAAAACACCATTAGTAATTTTTTTATAACTAATTTCGCACCACAAACACTTCCATACAAGATGACTATTTTAGTAGCTATTAGTCTAAGATGACAAAGGAGATGCAGATTGACCTTACTAAACCTTACCCTGAGGAGGGGATTAATTATGCTATTAATAACCTTCACGGGAATAACTCACCGAGACCTGGTGGTATATCTGCTACTGTTTACCATCAATATTGGAACATCATTGGTAAAGATGCCACTACTGTTGTGCTTAACATCCTTAACAATAATGTTGACCCGAGAAACCTAAACCACATATTTATAAGCCTCATCCCTAAAATAAACAATCCTACCTATCCTAAGGATTTCAGGCTTATAACCCTCTATAATATCATCATAAAAATTGTTATTAAGACCATTGCTAACAGAACTAAGCCCATCCTTCCCCTCATTGTAAGTGATAACCAAAGTGCTTTTGTTCACCAAATACTCATAATTGACAACATTGTGATAGCATATGAAGTTTTTAACCACAATCATAATTCTGCCAAAAGAAAAAAAAGGTTTTGCTCGGATAAAGTTGGATATAGAGAAAGCTTATGACAAACTCAAATGGAACTTTATTGAGAAAACCCTCTTCACTTTTGGCTTCCCTTCTAAGACCACCAATCTTATCATGAGATGTATCATCATAGCCACGTTTGCTATCCTCATTAGTGGATACCCTACTGCGGATTTTGCTCATTTTAGAGGCATTAGACAAGGATATTTATTATCCCCTTATATTTTTATCCTTTGTGCTGACATTTTTTCTAATCTTATCATTAAAGCTCAAAACAAAAATAATTTTACTGGGAACAAAACTGCTAAAGGTGCCCCTAATATAACTCACATATTTTTTGCAGATGATAGCTCAATATTATGCAAAACTGAGTAAAATGAAGCTAGGACTCTCCTAAACATAATTAATACTTACCAGGAAAGCTCATGACAACATATCAACATACACAAGTCAAGTTCATGTTTAGCTGAGGCACAAGCCAAATTAACCAGACTAGATTCCAAAACATTATTGGTATTACCAAAGTGGACCAAATC